CCCAGGGTCTGGATGTTGGGGACCTGGCCTGGGTGCACTGGGGGGGTGGCAAACCCCCACTCTGAGCACGGGGATGGGGCATGTACCCTCCTTTGCTCTCCTTTGCCTTCCCAGCCCTGCCCTGCCCTGCCTGCACCCCAGCTGAGCCCCCCGCTCCTCCCGCGGTCCCTCCTCCCCAAAACCCCGCTCTGCCAGCCGTTCGAGGGTACCACGTCCCCCTCCCACCACGCCTTGTCCCCCTTTGCCTTGAGCCTGTGTCCTCTGGAGTGGCTGTCCCCCTCTACCCCCCCCCTGTGCGTGCCTGTCCGTGCGTCCTGCTGCAGCGCTGCCGGTGGGGGGGACGATGGTATCTCCTTGCTTGCTTGCCCGGGGTCCTGGGGAGATTGTTTTAATGGCTCTGTTATTTTTTTCGGCAGGACTTTCTACCAGTTTGAGACGGCGTGGGATAGCTCCATGCACAACTCACTGCTGCTCAACCGCGTCACCCCGTACCGGGAGAAAATCTACATCACCCTTTCTGCCTATATCGAGGCAAGGACCTTAACTAGGGCCATTATAACACCAACAAAGTCTGCTATTTCCCCCACCGTCAGGGTACAGCCAGTTTGAACCCCTCCTTAGCTGGCACCGATGCTAACGGGGTGCAGGATTCAGCCTGGTGCTTGGGGGCTCTGCAGGACCCCGGGAGGGGAAACCGCTGAGTACCAGGGGTGGGAGAGACACGCTGGGCTGCCAAGCCGCAGCCCCCCTGATGCCTCTCCCCCCTGCCCTGCTGCAGATGGAGAACTGTACTCAGCCCGCTGTCATCACCAAAGACTTCTGCATGGTTTTCTACTCCCGGGATGCCAAGCTTCCTGCCTCCCGCTCCATCCGCAACCTTTTTGGCAGCGGCAGCCTGCGGGCTTCCGAGAGGTACTGGGACGCTCCTGCTTTTTTGGGGCAGGACAACCATCACCCAGGGACTGGAGCCCTCCTGGGGCACCCCAGCAACCTGGGTGAAGTAACCGGGGCATGGGGATGGAGCAGAGCTGGTAACACCTCATCTCCCTTTGCTCGCAGCAACCGCGTGACGGGAGTCTACGAGCTCAGCCTCTGCCGCGTGGCTGATGCTGGCAGCCCAGGTGGGTGCCGTGCCTCTACCCTGGTGTTCTGCACGAGGCTGGGAGGCACAGCGTGGCGGTCGGGGCTGTGCGTCTGTTCCCCCCAGCTGTGTATTTGTTCCCCGCAGGCATGCAGAGACGGCGCCGGCGTGTGCTGGACACTTCCGTAGCCTACGTGCGGGGCGAGGAGAACCTGGCTGGCTGGGGGCCCCCCCGCCCCCGCAGCGACAGCCTCATCCTCGACCATCAGTGGGAGCTAGAGAAACTCAGCCTCCTGCAAGAAGTAAGAATCTGGACAAAAAATGGGCCGAGATGGTGCAATTTGCAGCTCAAGCCCCTCACCCCAGATGTCTCAGCCCTCCCAGCTGCAGGAGCGGGGCTGTGCCGCCGGTGCTCTCCTGCGCATCGCTGCTAGCTGGGTCCCAGCAGACCCCAAGCGAATGCACAGATGGATTTAATGGGAAGCACGGTCCCCGAAAGGATGCCGGTGGGGGGAAAGGGCCACCCCTGAGCCTGGTTGCTTCTGCCCAGGTGGAGAAGACAAGGCACTACCTGCTCCTGCGTGAGAAGCTGGAGACGACTCAGCGCCTGGGCCTGGAGACCCTGTCCCCCTGCTCCAGCGAGGATTCCGAATCCCGAAGCACATCCTGCGTCTCCTCCCCGCTTTCTGTCGACGGGGCCCCCGAGAGCCGCACCTCTCCTCCCGAGACCCCCAGCGAGAGGCAGAAGGAGCTGGCCGTGAAGGTACCATCCTGCAGCATCCCCAGCTCGCGGGGATGAAGCCGGGAAGGAGTTTCCACGGGGTGGCAGGGGATCAAGGCAGGAGAAAACCCAAGAGGAGCAGGAGGAGAAGGGTGGAGGAAGGTGCCTCCTGCCTCACCGTCCTCCTCTTCTCTCCACAGTGCTTGCGCCTGCTCACGCACACCTTCAACAGAGAGTACAGCCACAGCCACGTCTGCATTAGCGCCAGCGAGAGCAAGGTATTGCTGCTGCCCTGGGCTCCGCTGGGCTGGTGGGGGCCGGGAGGGATGCATGGCCGGGGTACCTCCGTTCCTTCTGCTTGCCCCTGGTGTTCCCAGAGCTGGTGGCTCTCAGGACTCTGCCAGGAGAGGACCCCACCGGCCAGAGGTCTGGCCTCTCCCCGTATGAGCAGGTGCCTGGTCCTGGCTTTAGGTGGAAACTCAAGTCCCCACCTCCGCTCCTCCACAGCTATCCGAAATGTCTGTGACCCTGATGAGAGACCCCTCCATGCCAGTTCTTGGCGTCACTACTCTCACCCCCTCCTCAACCTGCCCGTCACTGGTGGAAGGACGTTACAACGCCATGGAGGTCAGGTAAGAAGGTGGCCCAGAGGTTCAGGTGACACCTCGGTGTCCCCTGAGCAGGGCAGCTGTGCCACTGGGACATGGTCCTGGTCGATGGGTGTTCCCCAGCCATCACTACTCCTACACCCCTGGCCTCTCCTCCCTCCCCAGACCCCCCCAGGTTTCCTCCAGGGCAGAGAGCCCTGACCTGGAGCCTGCAGTAGAAGGAGAGCAGAAGAAGTCCCCAGCCTGCCGTCCTGAGGAGGAGAAGGAGCCCCAGCGCTTGCTCGTGCCTGACATCCAGGAGATCCGGGTCACCCAGGAGATCCGGGTCAGGTAGGAGCGGCTGGAGCAGCCAGTGAGGGGAGCACCTTGGCGCTTGTGGGGTTTGTGCCCTACCACTGCCACCTCCTCACGGTCCATGTCCTACCTTGATCTCGGTCCCTTCTGCAGCCCCATCGTCTCCAAAAAGGGCTACTTGCACTTCCTGGAGCCCCACACCAATGGGTGGGTGAAGCGCTTCGTGGTGGTCCGGCGCCCATACGTCTACATCTACAACTCGGACAAGGATGCGGTTGAGAGGGCCATACTCAACCTCTCCAAGGCCCAGGTGGAATACAGTGAGGACCAGCAGGCCATGCTCAAGGTAGGGCGCCGGGAGCCAGCCCCACTCCACGCTCTGCCTCAGGTGAGGGACTCAGCCCCGGCTCTCCCCCAGCAGACCCCAAACACATTTGCCGTGTGTACGGAGCACCGGGGCATCCTGCTGCAGGCAAGCAGTGACAAGGACATGCACGACTGGCTCTACGCCTTCAACCCCCTCCTGGCTGGGTCCATAAGGTACTGGGGGCAGCTGGGGGAAGGGGGGTGCAGGGAAGTCATTGGGGAGGGCGTCCACAGGCAGTCGAGTGTGCTCCTTGCCCAGGAGAAAATTTTGATTTCATCTCCTCCCCACTGAAATGATGCAGTCTAGGGCCAGATCCCAGCTGGCACAGAGGTAGTGTTGTGCTGAGTTCAAAGCAACATCCATGCCAGGCAGCAGGGTCGCTGGCCCTTCACTGTTCTTGAGAGCATTTCATGAAATTCTTGAGACCATCTCATGAAGTTCTGAGACCATCTCACAAAGTTCTTGAGACCATCCCAAAAAGTTCTTGAGGACATCTCACAAAGTTCTTGAGAGCATCTCAAGTGGCAGGACTAGGGGAATAGGAGTAAATGCACAGAAATTTGTATGCTCTGGCTAAAGAGACATTAATCCCTTGTCCCTTCAGCCCTGGCTGGAGTCAAGCAGTAGCCTGCAGCCAGGATACTGAACCCAGGGGACCACACTTCTGCCTCTCCACATCTCTGACAATTTTGTCCCTTATTTTCCAAATCAGATCCAAGCTGTCCAGAAGGAGAACAGCCCAGATGAGAATCTAACCTGAAAACCACCCTCCACCTCATCCGTCTGCCAACAGGATCAAGATAGCTGATTCTGTCTCAAGACTCCCCATGTTAATGTCTGATCTCTCACACCATCTGCTGCCCCAGCTGTCTGCTCCATGGAAGGATCCGTCTCAATTCACACCTTCACGGGGGAAAACTCACTTCCGTTCGTAGTTGCAAAAGCCTGGACCCGCCTGGGCAGGATTTCTCGTGCACGTGCCATTTTCTGCCTGTCCCCCCATGAGTGACCTTCATGTCACATCATCTGTAACGCTCCAGAAAGGTCCTTGGTGGAGGGGAGGGAGCGAGGAGGGCAGTTTCAGCTAAAAGCTGGTCTTTGCTCTACAGAGGTGGCAGTGTGGTAAAGCTCAGAGGTGGGAGAGCAGGAGGAATTGCCTTCACATGAAGGGAAAGTGGTAGTTTAGGTACAGGGATTTATTTCCTAGTTTACTGGTGTTTCTGCAAGAGATGGCAGGGTAAGATCAGGTGTTGGTAGTTTAAGATGATATTTATAAAGTATTTATTTCTATTTACATCATAAAAATCCCAGAAGTTGGGTCCTGGCCCCCGGACAACGCCTCCCCCAGGCAGGGGAGAGCCTTGGCGGTGGGCTTGGGGTCCCGGACATGCCTTCCCTGGGACATCCCTGGCACGTGTCCGGTGGTGGCAGTGCTCTCGCCTTCGCTCCCTACCCTTCCCCAACCCTCTGCTTTGCGCCTCCCCCACAGCTTAAACTACTTCTCCTCGGGCGGTGGCTGGACAGCCCACCATGTCTTCCCAAAGGAGGCAATTCCTACCTGCCCCATCTATCTCTGGAAGCGGGGAGCCCGCCACCTCGGCTGGCCAGGGCACCCGCCTCCACACGGATGGGTCAACTCACTTCAGAGCTCGGTCCTGCTGGAAGGAAAAGGCAGGCTCTGGAGGCGGCTCTGCCCACCACCTCGTGCAGGGCGGTCCTTCCCAACCAAAAGCATGTGGACTACTTCCACTGTCCTGGCCTGGGAGCCCCAAGCGGCTTGTCCAAAGGGTTCCCCCCCAACCGCCCTCTTAGGGCAGGACGCCGAGGATCCCATCCCTGCGGGGAGTTTGGAGGTTCAGGTGGCCGCTTCCAAAGCCGGATAGGAAAGTTCTCCAGGAGCTAGGTGAGGAACGACCGTCCCAAGCCACAGGATCCTTATCACCCTTTCCGAAAAGGGCTGTCACATCCCTTCTCCTCCTGGCAGGACAACAGGTTCAAAGCAGGTTGGAGTGGGGCAGGGGAGAGGCTGGCATGGGGTGTTGGAGTGGGAATGGGGGTTTCTTTTGCCTGTAGTAGCTGGTGTTCTCTCACTCTTCTTCCCCCACTGCAGAAGCGAGCGCCCACCTGCTTCCCCACCCTGTCTTTATCGGCACATTAATCCAGGGGGCTTCCTGCGGCGGAGGTGGCTTCACCGAAAACCATCTCCTCCAGCCATCACTGCTTCTCACCTCCCCCAGCAGCAGCTTTCCCTTCTCCTCCTTCTCCTGTCTCTCACCCATGGGGGAATGCTTTCATTTGGAGCTTCCCGAGCGGCATCCAGCACAGCTCCGGGCAGGAAGGCGAGCATCTTCCTCCGCACATCTCCTGGGCACCTCCCTCAGCTTCGCTGTCACAACTTCACGGCTGACCTTCCCTCGCACAGCACGGCTGCGCCTTGGCTCTGCCGCACCTCCCCGCGCTGTCTGTGGTGTGTGTGTGTGTGAGTGAGATGTGGTGCTGTCTTCTCCTCATTACGCTCGTGTTGTGGGGGGCACGGACAGGCACGGACACGGCAGGTGGGCAGAGGCTGGCAGGGACCCCATTGCTGCACGTCAGGCTTCGTTCAGTTTGGGTTTCAGGTCACGGAAAGGGTTTTGGGATCTTTCCTGAGCTGCTGCCGGTTCTGCCCGGCCTTGCTGCAGCTCCTTGGGCACCTCACTCCATCGCTCTGGCCCAAAGCTGGGATGGGGCTGCTCCTCCCAGCCCTGC